TCCTGGAAGTTATTCAATTTCGTAGTACTTAGGGGGTCTTTACTCTTTGTTTGAATACGTTCATGTGACATATTTTATTTGGAATTGTTTGAATTATTAGTGTGTTTATTTTCTCAGGAATGTATTTTATGTATCTGCGGCGCGTTAATTATCTTATTTTTATTTATTTCTTTTTTTTTTTTTTTTTTTTTTTTTTTTTTTTTTGTGTGTGTGTGTGTGAACAATTGGATTAGATTATTTCTTTCTTCGGGTGTGAGTATCCGAACACATTCAGTGGCTTATCTATCGTAAGGGAAAAATTGAAAGATAAAGTCTTCTTCAACTTTGAAAGAGTGATTGTTCTTCCTTGGTCGAAGGTGAGACGTAGGAGGGTGAAATCTGGTTTCTTTTAAGGTCAAGTTCCTCTACTAAGGAGTATTGTGGTGCTGAGTTCACATTCCGGGGTTGGTTGCTTTCATTTTCTCGCGTTGAAGGCTGCAGGGGGGAGTTGCTAACACAATGATTTCTAACTACAGGGTTTTCCCTCGATTGCATTGACAACTCCGTACTCATTTAATGTACTCCATGATTGTGCTCAGCAGAAATTGTCACAATAGTAGAATGTGCTCGACCTCAGGTGAAATTGTTTACATTAATGGACTGAAAGAGAATGAATAGATAAATAAACGTTCAGAAATGTGGCCACACAGAGACTGCAACACTAGTGTGATGTAATGAACTGGAAAAAAAAAAAGAGAAATTCTTTTTGTCATTATTGATTGATCTTAGACATATTTTGTTTGTGATTAACGCCTTATTTTTTTTTATTTTTGTATGTGTTCTGAGTATTTCTAGGTTTATTTTAATTAAGTGATTTAATTGATGTTTTGATTAATTGTTTTTGATGATCTTCCTTGAGTATTTTAATTAGTAATTGCTTTGATTAATCTTGTTGTTTTACTTGCACATTTTGGACTTGAAATTTAATGTGTCAGTAACGTCACTGTTACCAAGGAGTCGTGTGAAATATTGTTACATTATGTTATCCTTTAGCCTTATTGCACAGTATGAGTCATGGTATTTCAAGAAGTGTCTGTCTGCTAAATTTTGGTAAACCAAAATTTAATTCCTTAGGGGAAAGGAATGTTATGTAGAGAAATTATCTGATAGCGTTATAAAAATTAGGTGAATGATTTTATGATTTATGGAAATCTTAATTTTATTTGATTATGAATTATTTATTTTAAGGCTTTAATTTTGGGGAAAAAAAAACAGATGCTTCTGGAAATATTATTTAGTTTAAATGAATATTATTTATTTTCTTTTATTTGCAAATCTTGTACAAACTTTTATTCATTGTGAAAGAAGCAGGGAAAGGGAGGCAATTTTTGCCAAGTCATGATTTCGCGCGCTTTGTCCTTTAGAATGTTCGAGAAAGAATTTTCATTGTTAGTTGACCTTAAGAGAGGAAAGTACGTGACAGGAAAGGTCAAAGGTTGCTACTTGTCTTTCAATGTAAGTCATTCAGGTTTTTGGCGATTGAGGGTCCGGTTGTTGGCTAAGTGAAGAAGGGCGCGCATGCGCGATCACCCTTATTTCCGCATTCTGGGGTTGAAAACGAAGATTTTGCCATAATTAAGGGGGCGATAAGTGAAGCCATAGTGGGAGCCTGCGTTGGTGAAGGAGACTAAGGAAATTCGATTTGGATTCACTCTGGACTCGCTTACGCACTCTCTGACTGACTCGCTGATTTTCGGGCTTGCTGGACAAAATGTAATTACGAAGAGAGATGTTTTCCGGCGGGGGGCGGAAAATATGCTCCCCGGCCGCGTTTGGTTAAGAGGCGAGACTCACTCTCTGTCTCACTGATTTTTGGGCTGGCTGGACTAGTGGACGTTGCTCTTGAAAACTGGCTTGAAGGAGATAAATGTAATTGACTACGAGAGATGTTTTCCGGCAGGGAGCGGCAAATATGCTCCCCGGCCGCGTTTTGGGTTAAGAGGCGACTCTCTTACGCACTCACTCTTGGACTCACTTACTGGTTGGCTGGACTTGTGGATGTTACTCTTGAAAACAGGTTGAAAAAAGCGAGAGAGAAGATGTAATTACGATGAAAAATGTTTTCCGGGCGGGGAGCGGCAAAATACGCTCCCCGGCCGCGTTTTGGTTAAGAGACGAGACGCACTCACGCTTGGACTCGCTGACTTCGGGCTTGCTGGACTTCTGGACGTTGCTCTTGAAAACTGGCTTGAAGGAAATTCGAGTTGGATTCTCTCTCTTACTGACTGGCGGGTGGAACTTACTTGGGACGTTACTCGTGAAGCTTGCTCTTGGGATGAGTAAGAACAGGCGAGCCGTAATTGCCTAACAACGTTTCTGACCTGAGGCTGAAAACCCTCTTTCTTGCGGCGTGCTGGTAAAGAGGCGAAATTTGAACGAGTTACCTGCGTGTTGACATAGGACTTTCAGGACCAAGCGGATAGCCGTCCTGGGCAGCAGTGCTCCTGTTTCTGTTCTACAGTGGTGAAGTGGAGTCTACATTTTTAGAACCAGTGTCAAGATGAGCCCGGCCGACATCAACGCTTGATAAGATAAGAGTCCTCCACTTCAAGATGTCCCCTCAAGATAAGTTTTATTTTTTTTTTTTGGTGTGTTTGAACTTTAGGCAAGCTTTTTCAAAAAACGTCCTTAGCAGTAAAAAAAAAACAAACGTCGAATCTAAAATTTAACTCTCATGGCCTTAAATTGTTTCCCTTTCCTTTCTTTTAAATTACCAGACAAACCTTAAGTTTTTTTTATGAATTTAAATGAAAAAGACTCTCAGATGAGGTTAAGATTTTTTATTGTGATGTAATTGAATAAACTGATATTTAATCTGGAACCTCTTACAGTATGTTTTCTTTATATATTTAATATGTTTTTCCTATATTTCTTGTATATGTTTTTATGTTTTCGATCCTCTCACGCGCGGTCCCGGGATGTCCGGGATGCATTTTTTTCACAACGCAAAAATGCTGTACACGTTTCACTATACGATCACTACCTTTCACGGCAAGTAGTTTCATATTTAACATCTTTATATGAATTTAAGATATAACATTGGTGTCAGACGTCTTTACCAGATAAGTAATTTTTTTTTTGGATTGAATTCTTACGGCAAAGCTACATAACATGGTACCTTGAAGTAAGCTATTTAACCTTGGTGTCGAAACTTTCTCTCTGTATAACATTGGTGCCGTGACCAGGATAAGTCTATATTTTTTTTTTTTTTTTTTTTGTGTTTGAATTTTCACGGTATTCTCAATATAACATTGGTGCCGTGACAGAAATTTCTTCATAACAAAAGTTTGAAAGTTTAATATAGTTATTGTATAGTGAAAAATGTAGAAATTCTTTGCACTTTTGTAAATCCAGAATGTTAAGTATTTCAGGAAAAAATTCTGTCATTTCTAAAAGACTTTCATAGATTTCTTGGAGTGGCAGGTTCGTGTAGAGGTTTTAAGTCATAGCAGTTAATATTGTAAATTTTAAGATTTTTAATTTCTTCAATGATTTTCAAGTTGTCGTAAATAATCCAGCAGAAGTTTCTGACTTCTTTAACTTGTTCAAATACTACTTTACAAACAGTTTTAAGTAAATTGGTAAAAATATTATCAAAATTCTTCTTGAAGTTTCTAGTACTATTGGTTATAATCTAAATTTTACAGGATTTTTATGAAATTTTGGTACGTCATAAAGATTGGCAAATCTTTGCCAAATGGCATTGTATTGTTAAATTTTATTATTATTTTTTTATAACTGTTAACTGAACTGCTATAGAATATTGGTAGCTAATTGTTTTACAGATATATATTTCTAGATTAGTAGTCTCATATATAATTTTTTTTTTAAATGCAGTTAAGAATTCAAGACTCAGAAACTTTTCTTATCAGTGATGTGTCATTAATAATTCTGAGTAATAGAGGGGCTAAGCCAAATATTTTTCATTTATAGAATGAATATTCTCATCATTTACTAACTATTTTCAAGTTTGATTTGAATAAAATTTTCATTTGTTATAATTACTTCTATATATTAAACATTTATTGTATTCCTCCTGCTTTTAATAATTCTTGTGGGAAAATAATGCATTTTATGTCATTGAAGGTAAGTGCTGGACTGGAAGGGGAAAAAAAAAAAAAAAAAAAAAAAAAAAAAAAAAGCACTTATGAATAGACATATTAATACTGCATTCTGTATTTCAAAATATTTCTATATTCAATATTTATAATTATCAATTTCAATACTGTTTTGAATTATATATTATACTTTCCTATTTATTTATACCATATTTACTACCATAAATCAGAAAAACTTCTAAAAATCATATGCTGAAAAACTAAATCAGACATGTGAAGGAAAGAAATGTGTGATTAAATATATTTCTAATAAATCATCATCTGTACACCAATTTATCATATTTATTATCTTCTGATGTTACTTTAAAATTCAGAGCTCTTTATGTTTCACTCTAGAGAAAAACATAAAATGTATAATTCTCTACTCCTACTATTGTATTCTGTAACTTAAAATTCAGAAGTTTTATTAAAATCAAATTAAGCTTAAGTTTTCTAGGATGACATATCACAGTTCCATATTAGATAATAATTATTTTCACACACAAGTGAAGTAGTGGTAAACTTCATAAAGTTATCTACCTAACATTGACATTTTATAACTCATCTGCAAAACATATGCTGTTTTTCAAATCTGAAATTCTCAGCTTCTGCTTTTGATTACAAGAGATCTTAAATTAGAGAACAACCAGGATATTTCATGGTTATGACTTCTGTTAAAAATTATTTTTGCTTCTTTCATAATCCATTGAAACTCTTTTTATATAATAAGAATAATATGGTATTTTTGTAGTGTTGAATAGCTATAGTTCTGACTTATCCCTGAACAATATTTCAGAAAGAGTGCATAGATTTTTATATAAAGTTCCTTTTAAACCGTAACTTTGTCTTCTTATGCTTTTCTAGGTTGTGATGTAAACCATCAAAATGATAATGGTTTTACAGCATTACACCTAGCCTGTTCTGAAGGAAATCTAGACCTTGTACAATTTCTCTTACTTAATGGTTTGTCATCTGCTTTTACGTTTTAACTGTATTGTGATTCATAATTTTTTGTAGAATCTGTCATTTTGTTTGATTACTTATTCATTACTACAAACTAATGGAAAATTTTAAATGTTCAAACTTAAATGCATTTTATTGAATACCTGATATTTCTGTGGGTAAACATTTCTGGAAAAAAAAAAAAAAAAAAAACTACAAATATGTACATACTTATCATATATATTTTGAATTTGAAATTTATTACTACCTCTTTTTATACCATAACACCAAGCTCTACCAACGTGGATATGACACCTGAAACAAATTTCAAAAATTGTGTCCAATAAATTCTTTTCTATCATTTTTCACTTCGATATGTAATATATTTTAATTTTGCTTCTCGATAACCTTCTCTCTCTCTCTCTTTTTTAATTATTATTTTAGATGAGTGCCTTACATCTAATAATGTAAGAATAGCTTTGTGATATGATACTGCATTTAAATATTTGGCAATAAAATACTGCAATATTTTGTTGAGTATAATAACTTTATTTATGGAAACTTTCGGCAACTTGTGATTTTCAGATAGATATTCACATTTCAAAAGATCATTTAATAAATTTTTGTACTGAGCAACTACTTTTATTACCTTACAGAGCTATTGTTATTAAGTATAATACATCTTTGCTTTTTTGTTGTTGTTGTCAGAATTGACCAATTTATTTTGAGCAATACCAAATCTTTTTTACCTGGTTTCTAAACTAAGCTGTATCTTCTCTGTTCACAAATAAAAATGCTGCAATCAAACTTCCCAAAGTTTTAGCTCATAATTTTTTAACTGCACCATGTTACACAAGAGAAATTGTTGATTTTTTTTACTTTCTTTTGGAAAATTGGTTTTATTATTCAGTATTCAAAAACTCCATTGTTTATTATTATATGTGCACCCAGATTTCCTCAAATGTCAGCTACACTTTGTATTAGTTAAATAAAATATATTTAGTATTAAATAAAATGTATGTAGTGCATAACTGTCTGTGGTAATTAAATATAGTAGATAGTTATACTTACTGATAAAACTTGTATGTGTATCTGTATTATGTTTTGCTTAGCTTGTGTAACTGGGTAAATTGTATCTGATACTACTTCAACAGCTGGACTGTTAAGTTACTCTTAGCACTTAGCATTTTAGCTTCGTATTCTTGATATTTTCTCTAATTTCTTAATTTGTGTCTAAATAGTATGCTTTAACTCTTGATTAACCAAATTCACAGCTTATAATCTGCATCTTACATAACTGTACATCTACTTCAGAATTCTCTAATTCTGTACATTTTCAGCACTCAGTATCCTACATTACAGGATACAGATATCAAACAGAGCCCACAAGTGGCCAAGCGATAAAGCCACTGAGCACTGGTAGTTTAAGCCGAGTTCAAATCTCGGCAGGCAGACTGGCTATATGGGAGGTTTATCCCATGTGTAGTATGAATATGAGCCAATGCTTAATGCTTCGAATTTAAACGCGTGTTTTTTTTTATTTGAAAGTGACTACTAAAATTAAAATATATTAATATATTTTTATAAATTTATTGTTAGTATAATTTTAGTATTCTTAGTAGTTTTAATTTTAGTATTTAGTAGTTAATTTTAGTTAGGTTAATTGATTAAGGCAAAACAGCTCAAGCCTATGGGATGAGATGTTTTCATGGAGAACTTTCTAAGGAAAACTGGCTCTTTTCCATGTTACACATGGAGAAAATTATGAAAACTGACCATGCAGCCTGCCTACTGGGCAGGATTTGGGCCCAGGTCAAACTATTATTGTTCAGCGATTTACAGCTTCATCGCTGGTGTGCCCAAAATTGCTTTACAAAATTTTAATTTCGGTTATTTTTCCACAACTATAGAGATGCTGAATAGTAATCTGTATCCTTGATTCTCAAGAATTCCATCAAAAATTATAAAAAATTTAATATTGGTAATGTCAGAAATTCAGTAAATGTTAAGTCTGGTATCTAAATTTTTTGGATGCAGTCTTTAAAATTAGCATATTGGATATTATAGGTATGATAAAAGCACATGTGAAATTAAGATTGTGTGACAAATAATGCCCCTATATGAAAATTACTAGTATTTAGCTTGTGTATCATGGACTGGCTGTAAAAATAATTGCACAATCATTGGAAAACATATTACTGTTAATCCCCCTTAATATGAATTTGTTTAAGATAAACACTCAGTTAACATGAAAAAAACTTCAATCTTGGCAGTGAAGTATATGATCTTATAGGCAATTTTATTGATTAATATGAATTTTTGTTAGCACATCTTGGCTTAGCTTGGTTAGCCTGTTGTGTTTCTGTTAGAGCTGCTTTCAGAAATGTTCCATCCCATTTAATTGAAAACTGCTTATGACAGTGGGCAGATGTGTAGAGACATTAGGTAATTTTTGAAAGCAGAAGAGATGAAAAATTAGCAACCGCCTTCGCCGGGAATCGAGCCACGAACCTCTGGAATACTGGCCCAGAGTGCAGAACCATTACACCACAAAGCCATGCTAGGAAAGAGGGAGAAATACCTTATAGATGTTCAGCACATAACATACATGATCTGAATTTAAACAAGGTAAAGGTTCACTCCCCCCCCCCAAATGTAAAAAGTCATTTTCTGCCTTTGGATCTAGGCATTATTGCTGGTACGAAGAGATCTTATCACATGTGATTTGTGACAGCTGGCATTTGCACTGCTGAAAAAAAGACGAAAATGCCAACTTATAGTGTGCTTGATGCAATTGTAAGGTTTGTCCTAAGTTTATTAATAGCTATCTTTAGTTAAAGCTACTTTTCTATCCCTCCTAATTTCAGCTTATAATTTCCTAGCAGAATGTGTTTTCAGAATCGCGGTTAATGCAAATGATTAAGAGCGGTATTTAAGTCAGAGTTCAACTGACTTTGTTAGAGAACCAGAGATTCTGACTAGTGTACGTTTGCCTTGTGGCTACACTCTCTCTAAGCTATTACTATGCTCGCTCGTATTTCAGGCCCTCGATACCTTTGCCAGTCTAGTTGATATTTAGGGGCCAACTACTTAGAATTTTGATAGCTGCAGCTATATCTTTTTAGCTAAGCATTAGTTAAACTTTATTTCTTATTACTCATGAGTTTAAGCCCAAGTGGAGGCTTTGCTGTACGCTCTGAGAAAGGTGCTGACTCTTCAATTTTTATTTTCAGAAATAAAGGGTAATTTACTCTTCTTGAGTTTTACGCATCTGTTTCTGAACTAAAGTGAATATTCGCTAACCTGTTCACGAGAATTCCTACCCATTTAGCTGTTAGATAACAGGTTGAAATTCGACACAATAAAAGCTGTCGCTGCACCCTGAAAAATCTGTACCATCACAACACATATAGAATTATTTTAGCAAAGCCTCGACGTGTAAACACACTAATCATGTTTACATATTAGATGGTGACAGTGATATCACTCCACCTGACAAATGGAATAGTCTACAAGACACGTAAACCTTTGTGTTAGTTTTGAGGAGTTTTTTATTGAGATGATGATGTTGCCATGTATACTGCAGTGGAATCTGATGTACAAGCAGTTGTGTCTGAGGTGCCAAAAATGTCATTGAAAGAAAGTGTTGTTCAGAGGCCAATATTTAGAGTAAAGAAGCCATCAATTTAGGACAATACACTTTATTTACATGAATAATGAATAAAAGGATCACACAGGAAATCATACTGATCATCACCATCAGCAAATAACATCTCACCATCTCCATACGCTCGAAGTTTGAATGACGGATGTGTCGGTAGAAGAGACAGCTGCGCCATCATAATTAATACGCATGCGCATAAGAAAAAACGTTCGCTCGCCTCTACCCAACACACCCCTCCTGCGAGCAACATTTTTTCAATACAAAAATGAAATACAAACAATATATAACACATTACATTAAGAAATTAAGGAAATTACTTTTCAATGTATACATTAATTTTTCTTCAATTGTTGACACTCTTAGTAAGAAAATCTTGCAATCATATTATCAGTTTGTGAATATTCCAACTTAATAACATTGTCCTTTATTAAGTCCTTCATAAAATGGAAACGTAAGTTCATGTGTCTGGATTTCGTAGGAAGATCTTGCACAGTTGATCCACTGGATGGCAGCTGGACTGTCTGTATTCAAAGACCACTGCACCATTCAAAAATTGTTTACATTTTAATTCTGATAATAAATTTACGGTCCAAATAATATCCTTACAAATTTCAGAAATAGAAAATAATTCTGCTTCACAAGTAGACAGACTAACACTTCTCTGCTTACGACATTTCCAAGAAATCAATGAATCACCTAGTAAAATAGTACCACCAGAAAATGGCACCATTTTCTGCATTTCCCCAGCTATTATCAGCATATGTATTTAAAACTCCAAAATCATTGCTATAGAAAAGTTTTTTATTTTTTGTACCTTTTAAATACGTTAATACCCTTTTAGCCAAAAGATAATGCCTTTTTTCTGGTACATGATTAAATTGTGACAAATAAGTTGTTACAAATGATATATCAGGACGCGTTCTATTCGCTAAATATAAAAGTTCCTCGATCAATTCCTGATACAAAATTGCATCAATTTTATCATTTGTACATGAAAAACTTTTATCTGCCCCTTTAACGATTGGCGTTTTCACTGCTTTACAATTTTCCAGATTGTGTTTAGTCAATAAAGATTCAATATATTCTGTTTAAGACAAACATATACCATTTTCAAGTTTTTCTATTTGCATTCCCAAAAATTTTGAATTAGTATTTTCATGTAACTCAAATACATTTTTTATTTTAGAAACAATATTTTCAAGCATTTCTTTGTTATTACAGAATACAGCTAAATCATCAACATACAAACACAATATAAAAATGTTTTTGGTATCATTATAAATGATTATACAATTATCTGATGCTAACTGTACTAGTCCAAGTTTTTCTAATTCAGTTTTTATTTTCATATACCAAT